GTCGAAAATCCGTGACATCGACAATTTTCCACAGCTTCTGGCGAACTGAAATTCTGTCGGCAGTGAGAAAACATATAAACTATTACGCAATGGCCTCGTGGCCAAATGGATAAGGTGTCTGACTACGGATCAGAAGATTCCAGGTTCGAGTCCTGGCGGGGTCGATTCACATTATCATCTTAATTTATATTTATATCATTTCAAGTGCCAAAATGTTTCCGAGAAATTCTTGAAGAACCTACGGAAAATTAGGTAATCGAAACACTGTCACAATTACTTTTTTGAAAAGAATATATCGCAATGAAAATCAGATGAATTGTTATTGAATGTTATTGCAATTTCGCAGTGACAATTTTAGACAATCTCAACAAATTGCTGTATCTAAATCTGCCGAACGCACACCAAGCACGACGTGCACAATATACTCAATATATCAGACAAGGAAACTACTCAGTTGACAAACAGTAAATGTGCGTATTCTTGCATTTTTTATTTGTCTCTTGCTAATGGAACGTTTCCGAGCTGGCCTGTTAGCTCAGTCGGCAGAGCGTGGTGCTAATAACGCTAAGGTCGTGAGTTCGATCCTCATACAGGCCAAATCGAACAGACGATTAGATTTTTTTTTAACCTGTGGAATTTATTATTATTACAGGTAAACTACGTGAAGCGTTCCTTTTTTGAGTTTCTAAATTGATTGCAATTTTCCTCATTACTTTTGCAATTTAAAAAACTCCCTTGCAAATCCCTTGAGGGAATTTGCAATGTTGCAAAGGCAAAAAAATTTTCCTCAGTTCCTGTTAGAAGTTCTTAACTTCCTGTTACAAGTTCCTAACTTCCTGTTCTGTTCTGGGCGCTGCAATTGGCTAACAAAAATAATCCACCAATAACAACGCTCAGAACAGAACAGGAAGTTAGGAAATTAAAACAGGAAGTTAGGAAAATTTAAAATGAAGTTTGGAATATTGCAACAGCCGATAGGAACATTGCAAATTCCCTCAAGGAATTTGGAAAGAGATTTTCAATTTTGCAAAGCTAATGAGGAAAATTACAAATGAGTTACGAAGTCAAAAGAGGAACGCTTCACGTAGTTTACCTGTAATGGTTTATTATAAAAATCGTCGCGCTCGATGAAAGCGAATTGCGAAATTATTTACAAACTTTAGTTAAAAGTATTAAAAAGTACCTTGTGTTACTGGCATTATATTACAACAATAGTTTACTGGTCTATGAATTAATATCGAAAGAACTTTTAAATTTACAAAATTTACAAAATTTATAAATTATGTGATTGAATACACATAGTAGGAAAAAAGCTTTTCTTAAAGCGCTCCGTCTTACAAGGAAACAGTGTTAATCTATTTCCGCACCTTAAATTACAATTGTGTCCATTGGCCCGAGAAGGTGGTATTAAATGATTAAGGCGTGAATCAGGCTGTCTGATTTTGTCAAACATTTTTATGCACGAACCATCACGTCTTGCGCGTAATGTCGAACATTTAGCTTGGTCCAGAGCAGCGTCATAGCTTAATGTGGGGTAGATTATTCGCATTGTGCGCTTCTGGACCCGTTCAATTTTATCTGACAAGTTAATGGTCAATGATGAATGCCATACCGGACAGCAGTACTCAAGCAGGGATCTAATAAGTGCAAAATGTACACGTAGTAAATGAAACGGGGAAACTCCACTGCGCTTGAGAACTCGTAAGATGTGTAGTCTTTTTGATGCTTTGGTTACTATCTCACTGATATGCAAATCCCACTTCAGATTATTCTGGATCGTTAAACCTAATACTTTGTGGGATTCTATTCTTTCAAGACTAATGGTTTCAACAACTAAGGTGGGTGGTGGCTGCTCAATATCTCGTCGAAAGGAGACAATCATCTCTTTACACTTTTTGGGATTCAATTTCATATTACTGGTACTTGTCCAATTACCAATTGCGTCCAATTCGTTTTGTAATATAGATACCTCCCTTGTTGAAACAATCTCAGTTATCGTCACGTCGTCTACGTACTTCCAATTACTGGAACGCGGGGTATCGATAGTATCGTGAACTATTGGTAATATAACAAAATTGAAATGCTAATTGATCTGGGTTCTTTGAAGAATGCGCATTACTTCCAAAATCGAAGAAAACCGCCTCGCGAGATTCGCTGCACTTGATGGATGCGCAGCACCACTAAGTTGGAAGCTCGCGTCAAAATTGGACTGGTGATTTTTAGATATTAATTGCTGATGGAGACTGCTGAAGCGGTCGGAAAATCCGTGATATCGACAATTTTCCAAAGGTTCTGGCGAACTGAAATTCTGTCGGCAGTGAGGAAGCATATAAACTATTACGCAATGGCCTCGTGGCCAAATGGATAAAGTGTCTGACTACGGATCAGAAGATTCCAGGTTCGAGTCCTGGCGGGGTCGATTCACATTATCATCTTAATTTATATTTATATCAGTGCCAAAATGTTTCCGACAAATTCTTGAAGAACATAACGGAAAATTTGGTAATTTATAATTGACTTTGGAATTGATGACAAATGGCCTAATCGATAAGGCGTCTCACTTCGAATGAGAAGATTTCCAGGTTCGGATCCTGGTGGGGTCAAAATTCGAAACACTGTCACAATTACTTTTGTGAAAAGAATATATTACAATGAAAATCGGATGAGTTGTTACTGAATGTTCTTGCTATTTCCCAGTGACAATTTTACACAATATCAACAAATTGCTGAATCCAATATCTGTCGAACACACACCAAGCACGACGTGCTCAAAATACTCAATATATCAGACAAGAGAAGTACTCAGATGACAGGCAGTAAATGTACGTATTCTTGCATTTTTCATTAGTCTCTTGCTAATGGAACGTTTCCGAGCTGGCCTATTAGCTCCGTCGCCAGACCGTGGTGCTAATAACGCTAAGGTCGTGAGTTCGATCCTCACACATGCCAAATTGAACAGACGAGTAGATTCTTTAAGCCTGTGGAATTTGGCGATAGTGTCGCTAACTACTGGTAATATAACAAAATTCACATGCTAATTTTCTTGTTTTGCGCATTACTTGCAAAATCGAAGGAAACCGCCTCGCAAGATTCGCTGCACTTGATGGATACGCAGCACCACCGGCTAAGTTGGAAGCTCGCGTCGAAATTGGACTGGTGATTTTTAGATATTAATTGCTGATGGAGACTGCTGAAGCGATCCGAAAATCAGTAATATCGACAATTTTCTAAAGGTTCTGGCGAACTGGAATTCTGTCGGCAGTGAGGAAGCATATAAACTATTATGCAATGGCCTCGTGGCCAAAAGGATAAGGTGTCTGACTTCGGATCAGAAGATTCCAGGTTCGAGTCCTGGCGGGGTCTTATCACATTATCATCTTAATTTATATTTATATCAGTGCCAAAATGTTTCCGACAAATTCTTGAAGAACATAACGGAAAATTTGGTAATTTATAATTGACTTTGGAATTGATGACAAATGGCCTAATCGATAAGGCGTCTCACTTTGAATGAGAAGATTTCCAGGTTCGGATCCTGGTGGGGTCAAAATTCGAAACACTGTCACAATTACTTTTGTGAAAAGAATATATTACAATGAAAATCGGATGAGTTGTTACTGAATGTTCTTGCTATTTCCCAGTGACAATTTTACACAATATCAACAAATTGCTGAATCCAATATCTGTCGAACACACACCAAGCACGACGTGCTCAAAATACTCAATATATCAGACAAGAGAAGTACTCAGATGACAGGCAGTAAATGTACGTATTCTTGCATTTTTCATTAGTCTCTTGCTAATGGAACGTTTCCGAGCTGGCCTATTAGCTCCCCCGCAAGACCGTGGTGCTAATAACGCTAAGGTCGTGAGTTCGATCCTCACACATGCCAAATTGAACAGACGAGTAGATTCTTTAAGCCTGTGGAATTTGGCGATAGTGTCGCTAACTACTGGTAATATAACAAAATTCACATGCTAATTTTCTTGTTTTGCGCATTACTTGCAAAATCGAAGGAAACCGCCTCGCAAGATTCGCTGCACTTGATGGATACGCAGCACCACCGGCTAAGTTGGAAGCTCGCGTCGAAATTGGACTGGTGATTTTTAGATATTAATTGCTGATGGAGACTGCTGAAGCGATCCGAAAATCAGTAATATCGACAATTTTCTAAAGGTTCTGGCGAACTGGAATTCTGTCGGCAGTGGGGAAGCATATAAACTATTATGCAATGGCTTCGTGGCCAAAAGGATAAGGTGTCTGACTTCGGATCAGAAGATTCCAGGTTCGAGTCCTGGCGGGGTCTTATCACATTATCTTCTTAATTTATATTTATATCATTTCAAGTGCCAAAATGTTTCCGAGAAATTCTTGAAGAACCTACGGAAAATTTGGTAATTTATAGTGGTACTCAGGAATTGATGACAAATGGCCGAATGAATAAGGCGTCTCACTTCGGATGAGAAGATTCCAGGTTCGAATCCTGGTGGGGTCGAAATTCAGTGACAAATTTAGACAATCTCACAACTTGCTGTATCTAAAATCTGCCGAACGCACACCAAGCACGACGTGCTCAATAAATAAGACAAGGAAAGTACTCAGATGACAGACAGTAAATGTGCGTATTCTTGCATTTTTTATTGGTTTCTTGCTAATGGAATGTTTGCGAGCTGGCCTGTTAGCTCAGTCGGCAGAGCGTGGTGCTAATACCGCTAAGGTCGTGAGTTCGATCCTCACACAGGCCAAATCGAACAGACGAGTAGATTTTCTTAGCCTGTGGAATTTGGCGATAGTATCGTAACTATTGGTAATATAACAAAATTGAAATGCTAATTGTCTGGTTTCTCTGAAGATTGCGCATTACTTGCAAAATCGAAGAAAACCGCCTCGCTAGATTCGCTGCACTTGATGGATGCGCAGCACCACAAAGTTGGAAGCTCCCGTCGAAATTGGACTCGTGATTTTTAGATATTAATTCCTGATGGAGACTGCTGAAGCAGTCGAAAATCCGTGACATCGACAATTCTCCACAGGTTCTGGCGAACTGAAATTCTGTCGGCAGTGAGAAAGCATATAAACTATTACGCAATGGCCTCGTGGCCAAATGGATAAGGTGTCTGACTACGGATCAGAAGATTCCAGGTTCGAGTCCTGGCGGCATCGTTTCACATTATCATCTTAATTTATATTTATATCTTTTCAAGTGCCAAAATGTTTCCGAGAAATTCTTGAAGAACCTACGGAAAATTTGGTAATTTACAGTGGTACTCAGGAATTGATGACAAATGGCCTAATGAATAAGGCGTCTCACTTCGGATGAGAAGATTGCAGGTTCGAATCCTAGTGGGGTCGAAATTCAGTGACAATTTTAGACAATCTCACAACTTGCTGTATCTAAAATCTGCCGAACGCACACCAAGCACGACGTGCTCAATATATCAGACAAGGAAAGTACTCAGATGACCGACAGTAAATGTGCGTATTCTTGCATTTTTTATTTGTCTCTTGCTAATGGAACGTTTGCGAGCTGGCCTGTTAGCTCAGTCGGCAGAGCGTGGTGCTAATACCGCTAAGGTCGTGAGTTCGATCCTCACACAGGCCAAATCGAACGGACGAGTAGATTTTCTTAGCCTGTGGAATTTGTCGATAGTATCGTAACTATTGGTAATATAACAAAATTGAAATGCTAATTGTCTGGTTTCTCTGAAGATTGCGCATTACTTGCAAAATCGAAGAAAACCGCCTCGCGAGATTCGCTGCACTTGATGGATGCGCAGCACCACTAAGTTGGAAGCTCCCGTCGAAATTGGACTGGTGATTTTTAGATATTTATTCCTGATGGAGACTGCTGAAGCGGTCGGAAAATCCGTGACATCGACAATTTTTCAAAGGTTGTGGCGAACTGAAATTCTGTCGGCAGTGAGGAAGCATATAAACTACTACGCAATGGCCTCGTGGCCAAATGGATAAGGTGTCTGACTACGGATCAGAAGATTCCAGGTTCGAGTCCTGGCGGGGTCGATTCACATTATCATCTTAATTTATATTTATATCATTTCAAGTGCCAAAATGTTTCCGAGAAATTCTTGAAGAACCTACGGAAAATTAGGTAATCGAAACACTGTCACAATTACTTTTTTGAAAAGAATATATTGCAATGAAAATCGGATGAATTGTTATTGAATGTTATTGCAATTTCGCAGTGAAAATTTTAGACAATCTCAACAAATTGCTGTATCTAAATCTGCCGAACGCACACCAAGCACGACGTGCTCAATATACTCAATATATCAGACAAGGAAAGTACTCAGATGACAGACAGTAAATGTGTGTATTCTTGCATTTTTTATTTGTCTCTTGCTAATGGAACGTTTGCGAGCTGGCCAGTTAGCTCAGTCGGTAGAGCGTGGTGCTAATAACGCTAAGGTCGTGAGTTCGATCCTCACACAGGCCAAATCGAACAGACGAGTAGATTTTCTTAGCCTGTGGAATTTGGCGATAGTATCGTAACTATTGGTAATATAACAAAATTGAAATGCTAATTGTCTGGTTTCTCTGAAGATTGCGCATTACTTGCAAAATCGAAGAAAACCGCCTCGCGAGATTCGCTGCACTTGATGGATGCGCAGCACCACTAAGTTGGAAGCTCGCGTCGAAATTGGACTGGTGATTTTTAGATATTAATTCCTGATGGAGACTGCTGAAGCGGTCGGAAAATCCGTGACATCGACAATTTTCCAAAGGTTGTGGCGAACTGAAATTCTGTCGGCAGTGAGGAAGCATATAAACTACTACGCAATGGCCTCGTGGCCAAATGGATAAGGTGTCTGACTACGGATCAGAAGATTCCAGGTTCGAGTCCTGGCGGGGTCGATTCACATTATCATCTTAATTTATATTTATATCATTTCAAGTGCCAAAATGTTTCCGAGAAATTCTTGAAGAACCTACGGAAAATTAGGTAATCGAAACACTGTCACAATTACTTTTTTGAAAAGAATATATTGCAATGAAAATCGGATGAATTGTTATTGAATGTTATTGCAATTTCGCAGTGACAATTTTAGACAATCTCAACAACTTGCTGTATCTAAATCTGCTGAATGGACACCAAGCACGACGTGCTCAATATATCAGACAAGGAAAGTACTCAGATGACAGACAGTAAATGTGCGTATTCTTGCATTTTTTATTTGTCTCTTGCTAATGGAACGTTTACGAGCTGGCCTGTTAGCTCACTCGGCAGAGCGTGGTGCTAATAACGCTAAGGTCGTGAGTTCGATCCTCACACAGGCCAAATCGGACAGACGAGTAGATTTTTTTAGCCTGTGGAATTTGGCGATAGTATCGTAACTATTGGTAATATAACAAAATTGAAATGCTAATTGTCTGGGTTCTCTGAAAATTGCGCATTACTTGCAAAATCGAAGAAAACCGCCTCGCGAGATTCGCTGCACTTGATGGATGCGCAGCACCACTAAGTTGGAAGCTATCGTCGAAATTGGACTGGTGATTTTTATATATTAATTCCTGATGGAGACTGCTGAAGCGGTCGAAAATCCGTGACATCGACAATTTTCAACAGGTTCTGGCGAACTGAAA